AATATTCATATTGATGGTGAGCCAGCTCCTGACGTAAAATGGACGTTCAACGACAAAGGAATTGGAGAGAGCAAGGTATGTTGACGGTGCAGACAAAATAGAAAAAGTATTGAGAGAATAAGTTTAGGCACAAATCGAGAATGAAGATTACCTTTCTCGTTTTAATATCATGAAAGCAGTTCGCAAGCAAAGCGGCAAATACACAATCACAGCCACCAACGACAGCGGCACTGACTCAGTGACAATCGAAATCAAAGTGAAAAGCAAACCTTCGAAGCCAAAAGGCCCATTGGACGTGAAAGACGTATTCGAAGATCGCGCCACCCTCGGCTGGAAGCCACCAGAGGATGATGGCGGAGAGCCTATTGACCACTATGAAATTGAGAAAATGAGCACCAAAGACGGTATATGGACGCCCTGTGGTCGCACTGCTGATACCTCGTTTGTGGTGGACACTCTAACCAAAGGAGACCACTATAAGTTCCGAGTGAAGGCAGTGAACAGCGAAGGTGCTTCGGATCCGCTTGAGAGCGACAACGACGTACTCGCGAAGAATCCCTTCGACCGACCAGACAAGCCAGGAAAGCCCGAACCCACTGATTGGAACAGCGATCATGTCGATTTGAAATGGGATCCGCCACTAAATGATGGCGGTGCACCAATTGAGGAATACCAGATTGAGAAACGAAGCAAATATGGAAGGTAAGATAATATATTCAGTAGTCAAGAATGTTCTTCAAACAGTATAATCTAATAATACCATTCAGATGGGAACCCGCGATCAGTGTCCCCGGCGGTCAAACCACAGCCACAGTACCTGACCTCACAGCCGGCGAAGAATACGAATTCCGAGTTGTCGCCGTGAACAAAGGAGGTCCTTCTGACCCTAGCGACGCCAGCAAACCTGTTATTGCCAAACCACGTAACCGTAAGTGTTCATTTGTATCATTTATTCTCATTCATTTAATTGAACTAAAATAGCATTGAAACCTTCTCTCTTTTCAGTGGCGCCAAAGATTGACCGCAATGCACTAAAAGATTTGAAAGTAAAAGCTGGTCAGGCAATTGGCTGGGATGTGCCCGTAGAAGGTGAACCAGCTCCAACAGTCACCTGGAGCTGGCCTGACAAACGCGAGATTCGCAACGGCGGCCGTGTGAAGTTGGACAATCCGGAGTATCGTAGCAAGTTGCATATTCGTCATATGGAACGTGGAGACAGCGGAAACTATACTATCCGAGCCGTGAATCCAAATGGAGTGGACGAAGCGACCGTTCACGTCACAGTCATAGGTAAGCTTCATCTCTAACTTTCAATTTACATAACTGTTTAAAAGAACTTCTTACTGATATTTTGTGGTCTCGCAGATACGAATATGGCAATAAAGTAATGCGATTAATAGCTTATGAGGTTTCAGATAAACCATCACCACCAAATGGACCTCTCGAAGTGAGTGATGTTCATGCTGATCATTGTACATTGGACTGGAAGCCACCAGACGACGATGGAGGTATTCCGATTGACAACTATGTCATTGAGAAACTTGACACAGCCACTGCAAGATGGGTCCCGGCAGTAAAGGTGTCTGGAGACAAGACTACCGCAGTTGTGGACGGGCTAATTCCAGGCCACGAGTACAAAGTAAGCTCATCTATCAGTTAGCAGTCTTCAATAAACCCTTT